CCTCTCACGTCAACATTAGGTTATTCGACAATAATACAAGGCAATTTGTAGATCTAAACAATAAAGCATATGTTAAGTACTTAGGTGTATTGATAGACAACCACTTATCCTGGAGAAATCATATTGACTACATCAGCTCAAAACTAAGTAAGACGATTGGTCTATTTGSTAAACTTCGGCACACAKTTCCTCAGCACACATTAATAACTTTATATTGGTCAMTGATACATCCATACTTGAATTATGCTATCGTTGCATGGGGACAAGCTTCAAAAACASTCTTCAACAAACTTTTACTTCTACAAAAACGTGTACTAAGATTCATATTTTTTGCAAATCAGAGAGATAGTTGCATTCCTCTGTTTKTAAAASCTAATATYCCACCTTTAAATATTATGTACTGYCAGTCTGTTGCTAACCTCGTACATGATGTTGTAAACGAAAATTGCCCTATAAACATTCAGCAATTATTCTCATCAATCAAAAACATCCATTGCTATGAGACCCGCTCTGCAGCTGATGGTAAATTGTATTCAAAACCATCAAGATTGAAAATACAACTCAACTCCTTCTCTAGATCAGGTACCAGATTCTGGAACTCTTTACCCAAATCAGTTAAGGACAGTCAAAAATTTTCATTTAAAAAAAAGATACGTAATACTCTTTTTTCTATGCTTATACATGAAGAGAGCTATTTTGAAATTGGAAGAGCCACACAGGTCTTTTCAAAATATTATTTACCAAGTGAATCTTGATCAAATTGTGCTAACTACAAAATATATACTTATCAACATTCTCTATCTATTTCAATTTAATGGCGTTGCCTTCAGTTTGCAAATAGTTTGTAAATAATTTAATTTAATTTGTATTTATTTGTACTTTTATCTGACCTTTTAAACTTGAACAAGTGTATTGGAAGTAAATATAAATATATACATATATAATCAGTAACCTGCCTTAGAATAGTATTAACTAGTTGCAGGTCACTGAAATCCACAAATGTATCGAATATATAAGAATATATAGTAATAAATTGAAATTAGTTTCGGCACTTCTCTATTTTTTTAAGATTCGAGTGCAAGAGGCTGGAATCCTACTTTAAGACAATCCAAAGCTGGTGTAGTTACCATTGACTGGGATCACTCCACGCTGCCAACAAAGAACTATATTGTTGTACCGTTGTATAACTTCACCAAGACAAGAGAACCATTCCTGTACATCATTGAACATAGAAATGACACATCAATAGCAGTGGAAGACCTTAAACCAAATACTTTATATACGTTTAAGTATATTGCTTTTGATTCTACGAACACAAGAGGACCCTTACTTGTAAACAGTGCAGCAACGGTCCTAACGAGAAACGGTACGCAATAATATTTATATCAAACTTTATAGTTTATTTTACACATATAGAATGTACTTTTTTATTTCATTTATGGGTAAATCACTGGAAAAAAATCGTGCTCCTTGAAGGTTGTAAATGTAATGGAAATTTGATGTAAATTCAATTTATAATAATTGCAAAGATTGTAAATATCCTGTAAGTATCCAAAATCATGGAAATATTATGTAAATTTGGATTTTGATTTACATAATATTTCCATTAAATTTACATCGTTTGTAAAAAATGTGTAGATGTGATGTAAATATTATGTAAGTGTCCAAAATAACGTAAATATTACTTATACATCATTTACATCGTTTTTACATCAAATTTTACAGCGCGGTTTTTTCCGGTGAATTTATGATTTTTATTGACTGGTCTCGTTTCTGAGGATCTTTGGGTAACCGGACTCTATTGTTAGTTGAAGGATCAGATCTTTATGTATTGTAGCATCAGTATATCATGTGAGTATAATGGTGTTTTTTATATTCAATCTCGTCGAACATGGCTGATAGACGGCTCGGTCGGAGCCTCGTTGGCTATCAGCTAATGTACGACTCGATTTCGTGGAGTAACTGTTAAATCCATGTATATTAAACTATAAATGGATCAACCTTTAAGTCATGGCAAACCCAGTTTAACATTGCTCATCAGGGTCGAGTTGTTCGAAACTCTAATAGCGCTAATACTGGGTTAAATCTTGAAAAAAAAAAACTATCGGGAGCTAACTCTGGATTAACTCTAATCAAGCTCATTATCTCATTATCATGGTGGGTGACAAATGGATTTCATACTCCAAAGCTTTAGAGATTTGTCTTCCCAAAGGTTTCTTCCTATTTTTACCATAATATGTACGTTGCGGTCGTTGATGAGTCATGCAGTCACAGATGCAGTCTCTTAACCAACCGGAGACCTTACAATGTTTTTTTTTCTTTTTTCAGACACGTTAAGGCTTATGGGTGGAAAACTTTCCAACGAGGGACGAGTAGAAATATACAAAAATGGTTGGTGGAACAAAATATGCATCGTCAATTTTGGGTGGAAATATAGAGCTGCTAGAGTGGTGTGCCTATCACTGGGTCTAAGTTATCCTTCTTATATACCTTATTATAGAGTATTTTATGGGACGTCATTAACAATACATTTTGTTAGAGATGTTCGTTGTACAGGAACAGAAAACAGTCTCGAAGAATGTTCAAGTACTGGTGCATCATCAAGATGTCCTTACTACTCATATACAGCTGGTATGGTATGTGGGAATCCACCAGGTAATTTATAATTCAAAAATTTGTACAAATCCGGTAATCATATAATTGAATCACTCAAGTTAGTCCTTGGTAATAGCGTTTCCAATCTTATTAATTATGATTCTTATTGTATATAGCGTGTAATCTAAAATATTTTATTATATACACAAACACAGTGACAATCTGCCGGATTGTTTCTCAACTGATAGGCTATTTTATTACCATATACCATTAGTGAGAAAAACGAAATATAAATGTCGAATAGATTGTTGCACTCTTATTACGTGGGCTTCCTGTGGAAGCACAAAAATGCAACTGGCGTTTTCGTCGTGGTGGTGAATATTACGCTTCAAATTGGTAGCGCATCGATAGMGCATGCGTTGCAGTCTYAGTTTCCATGGAGWTGTCAAAATAAACCAATCAGCGATTTTTGGTAGCGCCTGCCTTGCAGATGGACTGCAGTCTCAGAATGAAAACAAAATGGCTGACAGACGGCGGCAAAAAGTTGTCTTGTTTCAAATGGTTCTAAAATGTAGCTAAAATGCTCTAAAGAGCTGAAAATCTTGCCAAATCAACTTATTACCATCCAAATGACATGGATTGAGGTATATAATTCAATATTAGCGGATAATTCGTGCAGAAATGACTGGGCATTTTCTACCGCCGACTCGAAGAGCAGTACTTCTTCGTCACACAAGTGTTCGATGTCAAAAACAAAATCTTCAAAAATAAGAAATCACATGGATATTTAAGGTTCATACTTTGACAGAAAACAATTATTCGATGGAATAAAGCATATCAAACCTCATCTGAAAAATATTGATGCCATTTTCTAAACTAACGATGTGTTTGAAGTTCGGAAAACTGCACGTGTGAGCTTTACTTACTGAACTCTGTATACAAAAACTATATTGTTTATGAAGCATTTTAATATTCTCTATTGTTTGTTTTGATGATTGTTTAACTTGAAAAACTTAGACAAATCCAAAAATATGAACTGTCATTAGAAGGCTAAGGTACATCTTTATGATGGCACAGAACGCCAGATTTACAAAGTAATGATAAACACAAAATAAAAAAGAACAGAAACACAATATACAGATACATGATTCAAATGATCAAAATATTATTCAAAGTTATACTGCCAAGACTGTACCGTTTCTATTGTTTATGTAACCTATATGACCTATCAGATATTTTGAATAATATAGACGCTCTTGAGCGTAAAGTCGAGCTAGATATTTTGGAAAACTGAGAAAAAAGACATGGTATCCAAAGAATTTACTTAGAGTTCAGTTCGGTAAAAAATTATGATGTAATAAATTGATAACATATTAACTTAATTCTGTCTTGACTTATTACAAACAAAGACTATCTTGTGAAAATGAAACACCATTGTAACAGGAAGGCCACGTAAGCGATCCATGATCGTCTAGTTAATTAGAATCTATTGTTTAGTCGTCGAGTTTGGGCTACAAGGGGTACGTTAGTTTTATCGTTAAAAACATCTTTTTCATTTTAGTTTTTCATCAAAATATCACTGAGATGGCTGGTGTTATTACAAGTCCTGGATATCCATCATTCATGACGCAAGGCGATTACCGCTGGACATTCACACAAAATATGTCACGTGGTCGTGTTGCTTTATATTTTGAGGAGTTGGATTTAAGTCAATATGGGGGGTAAATATTATACTTTTAATAACCATTATATCACTATATCGCATGAAATCAGTCCATCTACAATTATTTTGTTGTGGTCACTAAAGTATTCATGAAAAAATATAAATGAGTATTTTAACCTAAACGGATCCCTTCATAGGTCAAGTAACGTTTCAATCCAAGAGTCATCATCATCATCGTTCAGCAAAGAGTATACCAACGTTTATCGTAGTAAGCCTGGGATGGTGATTAATTTGTCAGGTCAACTTAGATTCTATTCACCCTATACTTCAAATCGTGATTACGGTGATGGCCGAGGGATGCGAGTTCGGTTTCTTGTTTACAGCGAGCCAGAAGGAGGAGGTAAAATAATAATATAACACTTTTTTTCACTAAAAAAAGTTTGTTATGGTGTTGCCGGGTCTACGTAAATCATCACTGTATCTTTTTTTATCTGTCATTTGTTGTTTATTTTTTTTTGAATTAAATTTCAAATTAAAATGTTTATTTCTTTAAATTAAATTTCAAATTAGAATGTTTTTTTTAACACCGAGAAAAAAAGAAGAGCTCTTTATTTCGGTTACTGTTGTGTAACAAGGCGGCGCCAAAAAGCGCTGCGAAAAATCTACCCGAAATGATAACTTTGAAGTCTCGAAGACTTTTAACAAAGCAAAACAGAAAACTGTTTCAAACGATAGACATCGGGATTTGAAATATATCGGGGATAAAATAAAAAAAAAAAAAAATTAATGAATCACTAAAATAAAAATAGTATAAAAAGAAGATTTTTCGTGAAGCAAAATTGCCTGCAATTCTCGGCATACTTGTGCAGATCAATGAATATGGAGTTAAAAGTAATAGTAATAGTGGTAACACTGCTATCTTCATAAAAAAGAGAGAATGAGGAATCCTAGTTCATTGTCTTGTTGCAGTACATACACATATGAATTGGAAACTATTATTATCAAGCAACCATTATACCAGAATTACTGCTAATTGGACTCAAGTCGTCTTCACAGGCTACGATATAATCGGCTTTGTGATGTCCTGCAATTCTACCCAAGATTGGGCAAAAGAAGTATCGTATGCAGTTGGAGAGGGCAATTCAACATCTTTAACCTGCAGTGAACTGATTGTATATACTCACTATAATGTACACGTGTTAGTGCAGCTAAGAATGCAAGGGAAAGACATCTATAAGATATATCAGAGCTTAGTGGCGTCCTTAACAACTCCACAGTCGTGTAAGTATCTTTGTTTTTCTATTTTAATTTATCAGTGCTACGCATTGCTTGCCATTATATGGCCGTCTTCTAGTGCTTTTCGCCAATGAAAGAGAATCCAGAAAACTAAAGGATTCCTTATTCCAAGCGCTGAATTCCAGATTCCGAAACGTTGGATCGTTGGATTCCGGATTCCAAGCCTTCACATTCCGGATTCCAAAGAATTTTTGTTTTTGCATTCTGGATAATAAATGGCGTTTTTGGATTTCGAAATATAGTGGATTCCGGATTCCAAAGCTGTTTTACTGGATTCCGGATTCTCTTTAGGCTCAGTCTCCAGTCGTCGGGATTTCGTGCGCCCGCGATAYTCTCTCCCCTGACGGCTGGGCGCATGGGGTTCGAAACGTGTCGCGCATGTCCGTGACGTTTTTGTGTAATTAGCATATTATGACGTAACGGAAGTGAATTTGTCAATGAACGGAAGTGAAATATCTGACAACAGCCGTAAAGGTTTTGCTACAAGGCGGGAAATTATGTGAAGTGAAAACTTCGCGAAGTAGCGATATAATGTAATAGTTAGCGCTTTAAAAAAGAGAAAGGAATGGAAATTACCCCAAGTAAAACATGTGCAGGGTTTAATAATCCAAATGGATGGTATTATCAGCCAGAAAAACGAGCAAAATACACTAGTGGCGCTGTTTGAAAAATAAGAGATTTGCCCGAGCCAGTATAGGAAGAATAACAAGGACATCTTTTCCAAGAACAATCTCTTTAAGAGCCTTTTGCTGTATTTCTCTAAATTCGTCCAAGCTAAACGACTTCAGAGCCTTCAAACAAGCACTTTCAAAGAGAATCTCAAACGACGAATTGTACGCCATTTTGTTACACTGCTGCATGCTAATTTATTAATGATATGCCCCTGAAAATATCGGAGGCCACTCGCTGATTGGTCAAGACTGACAATAGAGAACCCCATGCGCCAAGCCGTCAGGGGAGAGAGTATCGCGGGCGCACGAAATCCCGACGGCTGGAGACTGAGCCTAGATTCTCTTCAGCACATCGGGCGATAATTCCCTTTCTGGTCCTTCTATCTACTTGTTGTCTTTTTTTGGTGCTTTTTTTTTCCTTTTCAATTTTTACTTCCCCCTTCGTATCTTTGAGCTTTCTTTTCGCAATCTCTCACTCTAAAGAACCGGCTGCTGTACTTAAACGCCGAGAATAAATAAATAAATAAATAACTTTATTTTACGAGGGTAGCACATTACAGTCAAAGACTGATAAACTCGTAGCCCTCCCTACTCTCACTACCTCTACATTAAGTATTTTAGCACACAACACTCCTCACATGTTGATTTTTGCTGAGGGAGGAAAAACGGAGGACCCGGAGAAAAACCCTCGTGGCAAGGGAGAGAACAACACATCAAACAAACTCAAACTCACATATGGTCCGTGCCCGGGAATCGAACCCGAACCACAGCGGTCAGTAGCTTAACCACTGGGCCACCCGTGCCACCCCAGAATCACTACAGACGATTTTTGATTAGATATCGAGATTTGTATTTCACAATAGTTTAGTTTCGTGAAAAGAATTAATAATACGCTGTGTTAGCCTCAATTGTGTACTAAAATATTCAGAAATATAGATAAAACTCGTGAGATTTCAAACTATTTCCATTGTCTTCTATACTCTCAGATCTCTCTAATTTACACGGGCTGTTATGAATAAACTATATTTATTACATGGTTTTGAGGCTAATACAGCGTAAACAAGATCGCTAAAAGGGTTTATTGATGTTTGATTGCATATGTTAGTTCCAAGGTCTAGTCCGCCAGGACTTACTTCCACTGAGATCACATAAAATAAAAACATTTTTTTTTAAATAGTACACGTGGTAAATTAACATATGAAAACATTATGTTCCAATATGTTTCCCGATTTTTCAACGCAGCAATTTTTGGTAGTAATTTTTAGTAGGTTAATAACCCCCCCACAATTTAACTTACGCTGAACTAATTTCTTTTGCCATCTGTTTGTCCTGAAACAAAAAAATGGCGGGACTAAACATTTTGCTGGTATTTTTTGCCCATTTGCATGCATTTGCTGTTTTGGCTTATTTCTTAGATCCGAAGAGAAGTCCTCGAGGAGTTTATTCCACTGATATTACACAAAGTACAGCAGTTATTGGATGGCAGGAAATCTCCAGAAAAGATGCTCGTGGTGAACTCCTTGGGTACAAAGTTAAGGTCTTCAATCGCGACTCTTGGAGATATGAACAAGAGGTAAATACAAGTGATACATCAGTCATCTTAAAGGATCTCTCACGAGCGACCGACTATGAAGTCAAAATTCGAGGTTACACTTCAGTTGGGTCAGGACCATATATAATTGCTTACTTTTCAACTTTAGGTAAGATTATTGCGTGTCATTATGATATTAAAATCGATATTGTCTGCGAAAAAATTGTTTCTGAAATTTTGTTAGCCGAATCAACTAAAGCGATTGAAAAGCGTTTAACATTGAGGAATTAACTTGCTCAAAAGCTCTGGATTAAGTCATTGAAATGCATATTAATACAAACACGATTGACGATTGAATATTGTTTTTTTTTTTGTTGTTGTTGTTGTTGCCGGTAAATGTTCTGCAATATCTATTTATCCCACGTGGAAAGCAAGCCATCTGTTGCATAAGGGAGTGCTGCTATCTGTCTTTGTTTGCTTTAAAACCTAGTAAAAATCTATGATGCGATATTAAAACTGAGACCCTTGATAGCGTTGGGTTGTCTCAATGGTGACGACCGTGTTGTAATCTTACACAACACTAGTGCTGTATCAGATTTACAAGGTCAATCGCCTGACATCATAGAAAGCTTTAATTCAAGTAACAGTCATGAAATATTAATGTGTTTATTCGCAGCATGTGATGCTATTACTATAAAGAACCAATTACATGGCAGGATAGACTTTCAGTATGCTAAGACATTAAGTATAACCTGTATCTGGAAATTGGTTGCACTAACTCCGAACACGCTGATCTTGTTCGTTTTGGAATCACTTTATTTGCGATCAAGCTGGTGGTCGAGTCGTTGCAGGTATGGAACCATTCCTCATTACCATATGCAGCTATTTCTAAAAACGTTGTCCGGGAGAACTGCGAACGGCTATTGTCGAACGGATATTGGAATAGGGTTACGCTGTTTTTAAAAACAAAATTCCACTGGTTTGATTCACCTTGCATAGAAATTGAGACCATATGGAGGGTTGATTTTTGATTATTAAGTGTTTGCCAATGAAAGCTGAAATGAACCAATGAAGTATCTGGAATATAATGATTTATCTACAATTGGAAACAATAAAGACAACATTTTGCGAATCATGGCACACTACCAGGAAGTTAACCTATGTACAGTTGAGAACAATGAGAGCAAATATGTCAGTGAGGAGGAGAGATGATAGCAGTGATACAGGGGATGAAGTTGTGACTCTTGTGGACAGTGATAGTGACAGTGATTGTAATGATGTTGATTTTAAAGTTTGTGTTGGTTGCTCAGGGAGGTAATCTCAACTTCTAGGTTCCTGCCTTCAGACTGGATTTCTTTATAAAAGATAATAAATAARTCACYTGTTTACTCATGTAATACTCCAGTTTCGAATTCACAGCGAAAAACCGCTGCTGTATTTGACARCAGGTTCTCTTGCRCAAAGACCTGACCAAAACACAAAAGAGAGCGCGAGAAAATGTCGTTATTACAATAGCCTTGAAAATTTGCATTTTCCCYRAGTTGARACTAACCCTGTATTCCCATAAGACCTAAGGTATGAGCCTTCTGGGAATACAGGGTTAGCCTCAACTCGGGGAAAATGTAAATTGTTAGAAGCGCTATTGTACTAACAACATTTTCTCGTGCTTTCTTTTRTTTTGGTAAGTTCTTTGCGTAATTGAATCTGCTGTGAAATAAAACAGCAGTTATTCGCTTGGAWYTCGAAAATGGAGTATTGTATTAAATTTTGTTCCCATCTTTCATATATTGGKGCACGCTGGAGGGGRWAGGGCGTGGTGGTRATTTTTGGTSGGCAACATGTAGCGAGGGTGGTTGGGGTATTAAAATTACTGCTGAGAGATTGGGAGGATCCAAAAATTTTGTACCTTCTAGCCCAATTTACACCCTCCYCCATAGTATACATAATTAATTTGTTGCAAATTAAATKCTCACAAAGATTTTTGATGTTTTAAATTGCTTTTCTTAAGAGATCGCTACCTGATAATTAAAGACGACAAAGGAAACTCAGTGCAAGGCAGAATGTGYKGSTCAAGGCATTCTTTGCTTTTTACCTCACTTGGTTTYGCTGAAGTAAAACTTTATTTGAGAARAKCGTCCGCTTCTATGTCCTCGTCTTTTTTCATGCTTGAAAATGGCCTTGGAAATGGTAAGGGTTTCACTTTCAKTGTTTTGAAATCCGCATTATTCTAATATTTCGTTTATGGCTGTTTCTTYTGACWTGTACATTGGATCAAAGCTAGTAACGCTTCCTTGAAATGCTTCGCATTGGAAAACATTTAATGTCGACATTGATGAAGACAGCTTGACAAGCTCAGATTTCAGAAATACCGCAACTTTTACAACATACATTTTTTTGCATCGTGTATCAATACCATGATGCATTGTGTCCAAAACTTCACTACGTTAT